GCAATCAGACATTCCTCTAAGGGAAACGTGTACACAGGGCAATCAGACATTCCTCTAAGGGGAACATGTACACAGGGCAATCAGACATTCCTCTAAGGGGAACGGGTACACAGGGAAGTCAGAGAAGCACATGGAGATAAAAGGTTTGGAGGGAAGGGAACGAAGGGTTTGCCACACAGCTGTTTGCTGTGATGTGAGATCTGTGCTACTCTCTGGACATCACACTCTGTGGCTGCAGGTGCACCGGGGAGCACCCCACCTGCAATCAGGAACCTGGCCTGGGCTCTGCAGGCCCACAGCTCCGCCATTCCTGGTCTGGGACGGGATGGACCTGTTCAGAGGGCTTCCCAGTAGATGCTGAGACACCATGAAGTGGCAGAGGTGTGTCTTCAGTCAGAAACAAACAGGGATCCCAACAGCGTCGTAGAAGCGGGTGGATAGTCACCGCCTTCAGATTCCAAGCAAAGAAAAAGTCAGATTCACTTGACAGAGAATGTTCTGGGTCTTAAAAATGTACATCCTAACTGGCTAGTCATTCATTACTAACCGTTCACTTACATAATCCAGCGATCAAAACCCTAAAGATTCACCGGGGTGTGGTAGCACATGCTGTAGGAGGATCACCTTAGGTCTAAGGCTAGCCTGGGCTACATAGAGAATTCACAAACTGTCTGAGATATATAGCAAGACCCTGTCTCAAAAGACAAAATCCATAATAAACAGAAATACTCACCAGGGCCAGACCCTGATTTAAAAAACAAACCACTGTGAGCCACCAATGTGGGTGCGGGGAACAGACCCTGGTTTTTAACTGTCTGGCTACAATAAAGGCATGGCAATTAAAGCACAAACCAAGGCATAGCAAATGGTATGGTTCTCTGTGCAACAGCCTTCCGTCTGCGACCGTTTACACCAAGTATCCTAGCGCTCCAGAACCTTGTCAGGTATTTGGAACTACAGCTGAGGAAACAAAAAAAATACAGGATGATTGAAAATGAAAACAATTCAACACGCTCATTTCATGATCACATCCCCCATCTCATGGCACAAGCAGTTCGGCCCAGGTGGCCACAGTGCTCAGCATGACACCCTAGAGACGGCATGGTCTACTTCTGTACTGAAGTTGCTGGAATCAGAGACTCTCAGAAGAGGCAGAGCGACAAAATGCTCCAAAGTGTTTTAATCTGTGGATCAGCCCTTGAGAGCCTTCTTGGTCTGAAACTTATCCAAAGAGAGAGAGAGAGAGAGAGAGAGAGAGAGAGAGAGAGAGAGAGAGAGAGAGAAGAAAAAAAAATCACCAACAATGTATCACATGCTACTTCAAACCAAGACAGGAATTAACTGTCACTAATGGGACATAATATGTGTATGGGCTTCCCATATAAATACCAGTGACTTCTGTTGGAGGAGGCCGCTCATTGGTTTCAAATAAGCAAAAACACCTTTCTCATCATGCAGATAATATTAAATCAAACAGTTCAATAAAGCATTCAGGGACCAGGAGTAACAGTGCTTGCCACCCAGACTGGTGACCAAGTATGATCCCTAGACCCCTAGGTAGGAGAGAACCAATTCTTACCAACTGTCCTCTGACCTAAACACACACACACACACACACACACACACACACACACACACACACACGTACAATATTCCTTTTTTAACCTAAGAAAGGATTTGAGGATAGCTATCAACAGACATCATTGCTGGGGGCTCCCAAGGCTTGATCAAACACTATTTTGGCCATCAGAGAGCAGACGGAAAACACTGACTTACCTTGGTCAAACACTATTTCGGGGTAGGGTAGAAGGCCATCAGAGAGAGACAGAGGACACTGACTTTACCTTGGTTATCAGTGCTCCTAGCACCTTCTTTTGATTCAAAACCCAAACACCAAGAAAGGGTTCCAGCTTTTAATTTTTAATGTAACATACAAGCCACAAACACCATTTCTCTCTCAACTTATGGGAGGTAGCACATTTAAATATGTTTGGATTTGACAACTTGCTGTCACAATACCAAGAAATATCAAGACAAGGTTATTTAAGATAATCAAATTATCTTTTTGTTACATGGGCCAACATAGTGATTGCAAGTTGCTTACAAATACAGTGTTTTGAACTTCAAATTATTTAAAACGAAAGGATGTCCGATTATGCAAATATACACTATCTTCCTGAAGCTCATCCCATTTCGAAGGCTGACTGTCACACAACAGAACACTTCCCAAACAGCATCACCTCCTTTGCCCTTGAGTATAAAAGTCAAAAACTAAACTTGAGTTTCCTAAAGACACAGCTACGTCTAGACTACACAGATGTAATCGCGATGGACTACGAGAACTAAATGATCACTGCTACGCTAACGCTTTCCTCTACAGTGCAGCTTTCCTGAAAAGACAAAAGGTACAGGGAACTTAGATATCGCCTACGGAACTGAACACAACAGACCCTCTGCCTCTCTGGCTTCATCAGCTTCAACTGTCTTCGGCGGGAGCTGCGCGGCACTCCCTGCAATTATCCCAGGGAGACCGAGACGTCCTGTGCAGGATCACTTCCCCGGGGGGGCCATACAGCAGGAAAGGCCACGGTGGACAGAGCCAGACACCAAGAACCACAGATTACAGGGGTCACTGAGGGTCGGGGACACCATGAATTTCAACTGCTTTTTCAGCAATGTCGACAAAACACGTTTAGAGAAACGTTAAGAGTGAAAATATTTAATTCCACTGTTGATAATGTTGTTTTCAGATACTGTTTTCTCTGTCAGATGAACACATAAGCTTAACTTAGGATTAGAGAAAGTGAGCAAGATCAACACGGGAAAACTTTTCCTCGTTTTCTCCTCAAAGGAAAGCACTCGGGTTGGCGCGAGGGTCTTTCTGGTTTCTGTACCGATAGGTCAGCCAAACACCCAGGATCTGGAATTAGAAGAAGAAAAAATAAGTGTTGTACAGATTGAGTTAATCAACAGAATAACTGAAACTTCTGAATCATTTTTGCTCTCAGAGGAGAGACTTCAGACAATAAAGGGCAGGTCCTAATCACACTGAAATACGAGACCTGTGTGGACTGCGTGCTGCCAGAACCTGCAAGTTCTGAGGTAAAGGGGTGTCATTATGCTAGGAGGGATCTTCCAGGTGGGCTCAAGGGTGCAGTCACTGTGGCCCTGATAAGAGGGAGCCGATGTGGGCAAAGTGAGGGAGCAGAGATTAGACAAGAGGACAGAGGTACTGCACCTTCCACGCCGGCGGCTGGACCTGAAGTTGGAATAGCAAGTTTGACTTTTCCATTTTGATAAATTGCCAAATGTGAACTCTGCCTGCTGTTTCACATTTATTTTTATTGTCTTTAACTGTGTGTGTGTGTGTGTGTGTGTGTGTGTGTGTGTGTGCGCACGCGCGCGCGTGTGCCCAAGAGTCTGGACGCATTAGCGCTCCTGCTTGATGACAGTCCCTGTGAGTCACCTGACCTGGGTACTGGGAATCAGACTCTGGTGGTGACCCTGATTTTTCATCTCCAAGACAGCTGCCCTAAGTCGCAAGCATTACTAACCCCTGAACCATCTCTCTAGCCTGTCAATTATTTTTAATAATAAGAACACCTAGAGTCAGTTATTAAATCAATAGTTGGTAGAGTCTTCTCAGAAAAAACAACTTACCAATACAATATTTCATTTGTTTCTTTGTTTCCTTGTTTTTTGTTTTTGTTTTGTTTTTTGTTTGTTTTTGTTTTGTTTTGGACAGGCTCCCATTATGCAGACTAGGCTAGCCAGGAACTCAGAGAGATCCGACTGCCTCTGTTTTCTAAGTGCTATGATTAAAGGTGTACACCACCAAACCCAGCTTATCAAAATCTCTTCACTCTTGCTCATACTATGGCATATTTTATACCTAGAAATGCTTTCCTGAAAGAAGCAGCCTACGTGAACATGATAATCCACACACAGGAGTCAACGGTGCACATATCTACACAGTAAAAGGAATTCAAGTGGTCGGGCTGACAAGATGGCAAAGCAGACAAAGGCACTCGCCACAGGGCCTCATGACCCGAGTCCCTCGACTTTGATTCCCCAGGGCCCACATGAAGATAGAAAAGACTTCCAAAAGCTCTCCTCTGCCCTCTACATATGCACCATGGCATAACTGTGCCCATACTGGGCGATTAAGTAAATGTAAGCCGGGCAGCAGTGAACGCGCACACCTTTAATGCCAGCCACCTGCCTGGTCTATAGAGCGAATTCCAGGACAGCAGGGCTACACAGAGAAGCCCTATCTCAAAAACCCAAAAAGAGAGAAATAAATACATTTAACTTTTTTAAGAGGAGGGGAGGGGTGGCTTGGAGGTGGAGGCAAAGCCTGGTGACCTGAGTTCAGTCTTCAGGAACAATATGGTAGAAGGAGAGAACCAATTCCAGAGGACTGCACTTGTGATCCTGACACACCCACTGTGGCACATGCACGTGGCCAACCACACACACACACACACTAAATAAATGTAATTTTAAAAAAAGAAATGTAAATGATTGACAGATTAAGCGATCCCATTTATAGTTAAATTCTAACCATAAAAAACATAATTTTTGCAACTATGTAAGGATATATGTTGCTCTCATAAGTAGCCTACTATAGTTATACTCACAAACATTGTTAAAAGAATTATTTGATTCACAGTCTTCTGCTATCTGTTTAGAACAGGAGTGTGTTGTGGGCATCTCATGTTTCAGTTAAAACGGTGCACTGTCTTTGCATAATAGGACATAATGTGGCAGATATTAATACTTTATCAATGGATACAAAACACAAGCTACCCAACATGTACCAAGCACTGCCCAAAGTACTCCAAGTTTTACACGCACTGGCTCTTTTGGTCACCACCCCAGAAGGTGAACTGTCTGTGGTTGTTCTCCTTGGAGGGGGAGACACACAGCAAGGTTAAGTCACCTGCCCCAGGGCACACAAGGAGTAGGTGGGTGAGCTCAGTTTCCAGACTCATAGCTTCAGCTTCTGCTCCTGTGTCACACATCTAAAGAGATCCAGCATATCATCGAAAAGCAAAAGGGGCCCGGAGATTTATCAGAATAATAAATATCTTGAGGCCACAGGAACCGCTCAGCTGCTAAGAGAGTACATACTACTCTTGCAGAAGTGGAGTGTGGTTCCCACATCTAGGGGCTCACAGCCATCTATGCTTCCAGATCCAGAAGATCTGGCGCCCTCTTCTGGCCTCCACTGGCATCCACACTCTGTGCATGTACCTACACATAGATACGCATTCATATACATAATTAAAAATAAGCCTGTGAGACTTCTTCAACCTTTCAGAGAGGACATTCCAGCTCTCATGATCTCATCAACCAGGAGAATGTTGGTGGCAATCACAGTACAGGAGTGAAGCAGTTGCTTCTTCACACAGTAGTTATCCCACACACCCATCTCTGCTGCCACCATTGGCTCACCTGTGTTCAAGTCCACACCTACTAGCTGACCCGATTCTGAATGCTCAGCTTGAACTTTAACTAGTGTTTCCTGAAGGTCAAAACCAGAGTTCTGCGCAAGAACCTTGGGAATAATGAGCAAGGCGTCTGCAAATGCCTGGACTCCAAGCTGAGCCCTGCCTTTCACGCTGGGCTTGTATTTAATCAGAGCTTCTGCCATTGCCACTTCTACTGCACCAGCACCTGGGACAACACAAGTCTCCCTGTCGCTGTGTCTGTACTACTACAGGATGACGTGGGGAAATGGTCGTTTTTATCCAAGCGTCAAGTGATTTGGAAAAGAATTTTTCTCTTCCCGGTTGAAGAAAAGGGAACAGGACATTTGGCACCTATTCAAATTATAATACTGTAAAAAAAATTTTTCACTAAGTGTATGCATAAAGCAGACACACTGAAAAAAAAAATAAAAAAAAATTTAAAAAAAAAAATAAAAATAAGCCTGTGGAAGTAACTTATAAATAGCTTTGTGTACTTATTTGGGTTGTTATATAATTCTTTCCCTGAAATAAAATACTTATTATTTTATTTTTTAGGGAAAAAAAACACATGGAATTTGTTTCAATTAAAAAGGAATTTTAAAACCATTATGGTAGCTCTTGCCTCTAAGACTAGCACCCAGGAGGTTGAGACAAAGAGAATTTAAGACAGCAGAGGCTATTATAGCAATACCCTGCCTCAAAAGCAAAAATTCTCTTGACATATATTACCAGCTCTGCAGCATCAAACAAAAAAAATGTTCACAGATATTGAGAATTTAGTACAGAAAACAGAATTAGGATTCCAGTATTGTTTACTAAAATATAAAAGTTTACTAACTAGTACAAGTATATTAATGTAATGTAAACATATACAAATAACCACAGTAGCTATCTAAAGGTTTTAGAAAGGTAGTAACAGGAAAATGGGGGATGGTTTCAGTTAGTTCCCACCAGCCTGGCCTTGGCCTTGGTGGTGGCAGTTACATCATCACCTGCCCGTTACATCACCGCCTGCCAGTTACATCACCGCCTGCTGCCAGGTGCAGCGCATTTCCACTCTCTGTTGGTGACACACGTGCCCCTTAAAAGTGTTGACCCTTCACTGGTCCTCTCTCGCTCCTCTCTTGCCTGTTCTGTCTGTCTATCTGTCTGTCTGTCTGTCGGACCGCCTGCCTCTCTCAAGTCCACCACTCTGAGATGGCCTTTCGCTCTTTCTCTCTCCTCTCCCCCTCGCCCAATAAACCTCTTGTGTTAGATCTGCTGCTGGGTGTGATTTCTCAGTGGCGCACCTAGGCAGGGTTCACCACAGGGACCACTTCCTGCCGCCTTTTATCCTTTCAGTTTCAGGGGCAATTTTTTTTAAGTTGAAAGTAACACAATTTTTATACATTTTTACTTTTGAGACTATAATACAATTACATCTCTCCCTTCCTTTCTTCTCTCCAAACCTTCCCATATGTCCTTCCCTATTCTCCTTCACATTCATGGCCTCTTCTTCCATTAGATGTTATTGCGTGTGTGTGTGTGTGTGTGTGTGTGTGTGTGTGTACATTCCTAAACATAATCTTCTCAGTTCATGTATGTTATTCTATGTATGTTTTCAGGGCTGACCATTTGGTATTGGATAACCCATCAGCTCTTCTCTGGAAAAGATTGTCTCACGACTCCTATTCACAGATTTCTTCCAGTTTTGTTTTGTTTTGTTTTTTTCAGAGACAGGGTTTTTCTGTGCAGCCCTGACTGTTCTGGAACTCACTCTGTAGGCCATGTTGACCTTGAACTCAGAGATCTGCCTGTCTCTGTCTCTCAAGTGCTAGGGTTAAAGGCATGTACCACCACCACCCAGCAACAGAGGCAATTCTTAAAAGCAAATCATTACAGACATAAATGCATATGTGTGTATTATAATACTTTATATTAACATGTATCATGTAAGTCTAGAAAGAGAAGAAAGCCCAGAGCCAACCCAGCCTAATGTCTTCATCTTTACAGTTTACAGGGTAAGCAGGTCAAGAATGGCGCCCATCACAAAGTCCATGCTGGGTTTGCCACATGTCTGATTCCAAGCTGGGGGTGTTCCCATCACACTGAGTGACCTCGGGGGAAAAGGAGCTTTCTAGTGTTAGATGTTATGCTGAAGTGCAGTGCTGTGTCCTGACTACAAACCAGAACTTCCTACGACAGAGGGGAAGGACAAACCTCTGTGAAGCTGAAGAAGAGGCCAATGCCGCCAACGAATCTCAAAACCTCTCCAGCATAGGCTTCGATGATCGGGGCGCACGGTAAGCACTTGTGTCCCATCTTAGCGCAGCTCTGCACCACAAGAGAAGACAGGACCTGTTACTTCATAGTGCATGCGTAAGAAATAGAACACGGAAGAACTGCACACGAACAAACCAGTTTGAACAGCTCCATCCAGTCTGAGTATAGACTTTAAATTGTGCATAGATTTCCAACATGGCCATTTCCTGCACGTGCTCTGTAGGCTCCGCCCCCTTCTGGGAGCTAAAAATGGGATGGGTAGACATCTAGACCTCACTGTGTAAGACTCCATTCCACCAGTAAGTACAGAGGTCGTCATGACTCACATGTGTGGTCGGATACCCAGCTGTGGTGGTTGAAATAAGTATGTCCCCCATAGGCTCATACATCGGAATGCTTGGTCACCAGGGAGTGGAACTGTTTGAAAGGATGCGGGGATTAGGAGATGTGACCTTGTTGGAGGAAGTGCGTCATTAGGGGTGGGTTTGGAGCCATGCTAAGCCCAGTTATCTCTCTCTGTATATATGTACACACACACGCACACACGCACGCACACATACACCTACACATTGGATTTAACTCTCACCTCCTTTTCCAGTACCATGCCTGTCGGCCACATTGACCCCCTCCACGGTGATAATGGAACAAGCCTCTGAAACTGTAAGCAAGCTCCCAACTAAACACTTTCTCCAGTACGGCTCTCTTGGTCATGGTGCCCCTTCACAGTGGTGACTAAGACCCCGGCAGACAGCCATCAAGGAAACAGGACAATCCTATGAGAAGAATGAGTCTACAGACGTCCCCTGAGCAAGGCGAGGACACCGAGACTCCCGTGAAGTAAAGTCTCCACTGACACCTCATTCCTGCACGATGAGAGTCTGGTGTTAAGTCAGCCTGACAGCAAGAGTCACCTGCGAGGGGTTGTCTTGAATATGCTATGAGTATGAACATGTTAAAATGTGGCAGGAACCACCTTCCTTGTGGAAGCGACCAGTCTCCCTAGACAGGGGAGGGGAGAACGAGAACGGAGCAGGAGCGCGCATGCGTTCCTTGCTCTTCCCACGTGACAGTGGTTGCCATGGGACCAGCTCCCCAGCTCCTGCTTCTGTGACGTTCCCACAATGACAGGACAGAACCTGGAACTACAAGTGAGAAGAAACCTGTTCTCCCCTTGACTGCTTTCGGCAGATGTTTTATCAGTGACTGGAGAACAAACTAACACCTCTGAGCAGGGGACTCGGCTAACCACACCTGGACTCCCGTGGAAAGCGGAGAGGAAAACAGACAACTGTCTTAGGCCATAAACTTTGTGATCACACGTTTCATAACAATGGAAATGTAATACAGACCCATGTAGAGAAACAGTCTCACAAAGACCTCCACGAAGAGAGACATACACCTTAGGTCTTAGAGAGTTTGTAAGAGGAGTTGCCCCAAAATATAAACACACATGAATGTTCTACACAAGCTAAGCCCTGAGCCTATCCTACAGGGCTGGGGTTGAGTTACGTAAACCAGTCTGGTAGGAAACAGAAGGATGGAACCCAGTGGTCCATCAGTAGTTCAAATCCAAACAGAATGCGTGAGAAATCGTGAGGCGGAGGAGGGGAAGGAGGGGAGGGTGGTTCTATGGGTCTTCTACCTTGAAGGTGTTGGGCCAGTTAAGAGAGCAATTTAATACAGACCCTTCTCTTGCTACCTCCCTAGTAAACTGCCAAGACAGAAATCTCCGAGACTGATCATGTCTCCCTCACAACTTGTTATAGGAAGGAGCAGAATGAGGAAGAATTACAGGCAAGAAAATAAATGTGGCATGTCTCACTGGACACAGAATGGGCAAATGAGACAGTGGTACCTATGAAAAGTGGAACAGAGGCATTAGCCAAACAGTTCTCAAATATAATTCAGCATCGGAAGGGCCACTTCTTCTTTGCGAATCCCTATTAAACTGTAGGGAACACCTTCAAGGAAAATAAACAGAACTTTTCTAGTTTGGACTTACAGCCAAGCAGGTGTCATTGGGGTTGTAGCTTCGGAAGCCACAGCAGTTCAAGTTCCTCTGGAGGTCATTTCGAGCACTTGCCGTATTGTTCCATCCGACCTCCAGCAGCTGGCCCTAGAAACAGTTCACAGACGCATGAAAACTTATCATCCTGGCGTAGAACACAGACACCGAGAGCCTGCGAGTGGAAGTGGAGCGGGCATGGAACAGTTTCTACAAAACTAGCACACCTTTTCAGAAGCGCATCCCTAGGTCTGCGAAACACTTAAGGCAATACGCCTATCATACGAAGAAAAAGGTCCTGGGCTTTTACAAGCAATTGAGAACAACACTTGCTTCAAAGGCATGATTCTCTAAGTGTAACAATACAAAGTTTCAGTTGGTCCAAGTCAGGAACCCATTTTTTTCTCTATAAAAAGTGTTTTAAAAGAGTAATTGCTACAAGGAAACCAGGAACACTTTGGAGCACTGCAAAGCTGCTGGGGAAGAGGAGCCACCTTTTGAGAACAGCAGTTTCTACCCAGTGAGGGTTAAGTCTTCTTTAAGGACAGAAATCACCAAGACCTGAGAGCAATTCCCCAGCAACCATTTCCACAAGCCATGCAGGAGCAAGAAAGTCAGGTAGCGGGGATAAAATGGCACTGTTGGCAAGAAGAAATGTAGTGATATTTCATTTGTATTTTAATAAATAAAGCTTGCCCGAAGTTCAGAGAGTAAAACAGCCGCCCTGGTCAGCCTTACAGACCAAGTAGTGGCAGCACACACCTTTAATCCCAGTAGCCACACTAGTTGTCATAGAAACCAGGCAGTAGTGGTGCACACCTTTAATCCCAGCACTAGAGAGGAATATGACACAGGAGGAGACAGCTCTCAGTCTCAGTCTCAGTCTCATTCTGAGATTCCTGGAGGCAGGGTCGCCATTTTCAGACTAGGGTAGAGGTAAGAGCCAGTGGCTGGCTGCTTTGCTTTTCTGACCTTCAGGTTGAACCCCAATTTCTGTCTCTGGGATTTTATTAATCATGCTACAATGAAATGTTCATTCTCCAATCATTTCCTCCCATCTTTTCCATGTTTGTGCTATGTTGCACAACAAAGTAAAACAAAGTAAAAACTTCACTTCGTTGGGAGCAATGACGCAAACCTTTGATACCAGCACCCAGGAGGCAGAGGTAGGCAGATGTCTGTGAGTTTGAGGCCAACCTGGTCTACAGTTCTAGGACAGTCAGAGCTACACAGTGCGACCCTGTCTCAACAAGAAAAATAATAATAAAAACTTTACTTACCTGTTGGTCCTGATTCAGCGCTAAGCAAGCACAAGACACGGAGAACTGAACAATAAATACGAGCAGGAGAATGATCATATACTGAGAGTTACAAGTTAAGGACGATTTTACTTTTATTTATCTTTTGTCATTACCCTGACCTCTTCATCGGGCGTGTGAGTGTGGCAGGGGCATACACACGGTATGTCTGCCTGTGCCACACTGTTCAGCAGAGGGTAACTTGTGGGAGTCAGTTCTCTCCGACCACCGTGCGGGTCCCGGGGATTGAACTCTGGTCCTCAGATTTGGCAGCAAGTGCCTTTACCTGCTGCTAGGGATAGCATTACAAATGCTGGGAACGATTATACAGCAGGTGTGCTGACAGTCCACTCTAAGCAACTTACCCAGAAACTAGACCGGTATTACCTAAAGTTCAAAGTGATACACTGATCGTTTTCCTAATATGCTATAGCTACCAATTCATTAGACAGATAAAAATAATTACATACAGCAGGCATGGTGGGTAACACTTGTAATCCCACAGCCTAAGGAGCAGAGATAGGAGGACTGCCAAAGCCTGAGGTCAGCCCAGTCTACAGAGAGTCTGTCTCAGAAAGAGGGGATTTAGATTTTGAAAAACTCACATTCAAAATGAAATACAAATTCTGAAACCTCTAAAATAAAAAAACAGATATAGACAAATGTATAAGCTTTCTCCAAACTAAATCTAGCGAATAAAATACTGTAAAATTCTCAACCAAAGATTAACGTGTTAGGAAGGCCTAGAAGTAACGAAATGAGTTCAGTTCACCTCTGAACATTTGTAGGAAAATCAGAATTATGCCCAGCTAGAACTCAGAATGATGTGATGGGGAAGGATGGGTGATAACTAAACATAAGGCTTTTTCCTTACACATATTCTTTACATTGTCGTCCTAAGGGTGGCTTCGTGGCAATAAATTCCCTAATGATATAAAATTAGTAGCAACCATTGAGATATAATCAATAATGAGTGAGAACGTCACCTGATGGAGGTAAAAATCCTGGTTTTTAAAAAGGATACAAAAAACAGCAACACCTGATGATGTTTCACTGCACCAATCAGCCCCACCAACGCAATCAGGAACAGGAAGATGCCCACGGCAATGACCACGCCCACCACTCGGAGGCTGGAGATTAGCCCGAAGCCAATGCCCCAAGCGGCAATCCCGATGAGCAGCAGGCTGACCAGCTGTGGAGAGACGAGGTTCAGTCAGTTACACAGCGCCAGCCCTGTCCAGGTGTCCACATCTTAGTCACCTTCATAGCAAGGCAGGCGTCCCTCAGGATCCCCAGGGTGCTGGTTCCAGAACCCGCCCACCACATACAGCAAATTCAAGTTTCACGGTGAAAAGCTGTCACAGTGTGTAACTTGTAACACCCTCCTGTAAGCATCAAGCCACCTCTGGAGGACTCGGACTAGCTAGAGCAGGGCCAAGGCTAGGCGACATCACCGAATTGTCAGGGGAGCAGCAACAGGAAGAAAATCTGTGCTCATGAAGCAGGTTTTGATCCAGGTGACTGAATCCATGAATGTGAGATCCTTAGATACAGGAAGCGGACGGAAACACACAAGCCTCCATGGATACTAGTGTATTAATTAATTCAATCTAACCCTCAATTACGCTTCTTAAAAAAGACTAACACTAACCCAGAAGGCAACGACGGCATCTCAGGGGTCACCTACCCATAAGCAACTGTAAGCTTGCTCAGTACCAGCACATGTAACACTAGGCAGAAACACATCTCAGCCCGTGATTCTGATCTGTTCAGATGAAAATTATTTTTCTTTTCCTTCACAACCCAGGGGGCCTGCAGCCCCCTGTGTCCTCCCACTCCTCCCCAAACGGCTCAGCCAATCCTCCCTTCCTGGCAAGCTGTGCTCCTCGAATAGGAAGCTATTGTTTCCTTCTTCACTCTACCATCAGTCTCTCCAGGAGCAAGAGGCATTCGCAAGGAAGGACTCCTATGCTCCCACCTCCTTGGAACTTACAGACCTGAACCTGGAGTGAAAATGGTTTGCAGAACTACTCTGATAGTTCATTGCAGTCAACATCCAGTATGCTAAAATACAGAGACACGAGAGGCCATTAAAGCCATCCAGAGGAAAACAGGGCAGGAGAGCTTAGCTATTTAAAAGGAAATGCCATCTGGGCAAGAAGAAAGCAGGTCATATTCAGTCATTTTATTTACTGGTTTGTCAAACACAGAAGAGCGAGCACACCTGTGTGTAACAGGGATTACAAAACTCACAGCTACAATCACTTACAAAACAAGAACAAATAAATGGTAAACTACATAGGGATTATAATTAACCCCAGAAGGCACAGCTAGTATGAGCAGGTTTCAGAGAAGGGTGGAGGGGGCTTGTAGAGCGGGGTCAAGAACCTTTGTACACGTGCGGTCACTCATCTCCTAGGGTGGAGGGGGTTTGTAGAGCGGGGGAGAGTATCTTTGTACATGGGCGGTCACTCATCTCCTGGGCTACTGTGGCAGTGTAATGCCCAGTTAGGAAAAATCAAAATTCAAAACTAGATTTTTCTAGCATCATATTACTAAAAGACTTGGTAAACTCTGTTTATCAATATACAAATTATCATTTTAATTCTTCTGCTAATATGTATCATTGTGCATGTGTTAAACAAACTAACCATGCTTTATATGAGCTGGTTTAAAAAAGATATTTACATATATAGAGACACAAACAAAATCGGTAGTGTCCATCTATTTGTATTTTTACCCAAAACATTTTCTTTCTAGAATCTTGGTTAAAGAGCCAAAACATAAGAACAAAAGAAATCATCTGTGGGACCACAGAACCAGTTTCCGGTGCGGGGGAACTCATGGCCTCCACCCCTGTGGCCAGTACACAGAGAACAAGGCAAGCATTCCCTCAAGTCCCACCTCCCTCCCTCCCTCAGCTGCTGCTCCTTGGCAGTTCTGTTGTGTCGTTTCTCACAGTCACCTCACAATTTTAAGCAATAGAGAGCTGAGAAAAGGCCCTCTGCCCCTTCACGAGGGATCTTCTTTCTGACTTTGTAATGCCCAAATCAAGCACACTTCCTTTCACAGGCAGTAAAAGAGGGTGCATCAGAGAAGTGTGAGGAAGGGCCTCACTTCTTCCTGGCTTAGCATCATCGCTGTATCTTGGGATGGGGCACAGCACGCAGTTCCCAAGCACACACATCGGAGTAGCTCTCTATATCTACGCATCTGTTTCTATGTATCAGAAGAAAGTGAGGCTCAGACAGGAGAGGTTTGAAACATCTGGCCCACACATCTGTGACTGATAAGGCAGAAATCTGGACAGGGCACATTTATTCCTTGGGAAATGCCAGTTTAAGGGCTTCACATCCACACTCTGGAGGATAGTCTGATTCGTTTAATCAACCGATTGTAAATTCTGGTCATAGTCACAAAATATTCTTATGGCAGTGCCTAGACTAGCATTTGATCAACAGTTGGGCACCACAGCCGGTGTCCATGGTAATACAGACTCCTCACCATCCCCAGCCCCTCTGCTAACACCAAGTTATGGAGGGGGAGTCTGGTTTACTAATTCAGGTGAACTCAAGGGACAAGAAGACCAATCTGCACTTCATTCAACATTAAAAACAAAAAACTTCTGGGCGAGGAACATGGTTCAGCAGGTAAAAGCACTTGCCACATGAGCCTGGCACCCAAGTCTGCTCCTGGACAGACAATGACAAATGTAACAGCATCCACTGTTAGCATTGCTCAGATGGGACACAAGAGAGTCAGCAGGAAGCACTGGGACCACACAGCGTGGAATACACAGCCCAGCAACAGAAACCAAAGAGACACGACCTCAGCCAGGAGGAAGGCTAGGACAATCGCCAAAAGCTGTCCTCTGAGCTCCACACGCACCCTGGGTGGCATCCATATATATATAGCACATGATCCTCCAAGATCATGCCAAATCATTACTATGCTAATGGGATTTTTAAAAGTTAAGAATATTAAAAGTTAAGTATTCTTAAGCATTAAACTAAAAAATAAGTGAGAGACTTAAAGATGGGGCATACGACAGAACAGAAGTTGGAACAGAAGTTCCATAGCCTGGTTGTGCAGACCACAGCCCTGTCGTGATCACTCAGTTCCAATATTGTACAAGCACGGAGACACACAGTACAAACGGAAGAGCAGGGGCCGTGTTGACAATACTCCCATCTTTTAGTTCTATTTAGCTGAGGTTCTGAGGTTTTGTTTTGAGTTTTGTTGCTGTTTGTTTAGGTTTGGCTTCATTTTTGTTGGAGGGATTTTTTAGAATGGCGGAGATAAGGTCAGGTTAGCCTCAAAATCAGGGTTCTCCTGCGTTGGCTTCCCACGTACTGAGATGACATGTTTGTGCCAGATCAACCATCAACACTTTCTCCTCAGACTGTCCATGAATTTTCATGTATCAAAGTATTTTTTCCCTTTGATTATTTTTTCCAGATTATTTACAAATGTGAATCCAGGCCAGCAAGATGAGGACTCGGGCAGTCAAGGTGACTGCTGTCACACCCGACAACCTGAGCTCAATCGCCAGGCTCCCACAGTGGAGAGAGAGAACTCCTGCCATCCTGGAAACTGGTCTCTGAACTGTACATATGTGTTAGGGTGGACGTGCACACACACACACAAACACACACAAATGTAGTGATGTTTCATTTGTATTTTAATAAATAAAGCCTGCTCGAAGTTCAGAGAGTAAAACAGCTCCACTGATCAGTCTTACAGACCAGCAAAAACGGGGGGGTGGTGGTACACACCCTTAATCCCAGCCCTAGAGAGGAATATAAGACAGAAGGAGACAGCTCTCAGACATAGCCTCATTCTGAGATTCCTAGACGCAGAATCACCATTTCGGACTGAGGTAGAGGCAAGAGCCAGTGGCTGGCTGTTTTGCTTTTCTGACCTTCAGGTTGAACTCCAATATCTGACCCTGGGTTCATATTAATCGTGCTATACACAGAGAGAGAGAGATGCATATGAAACAAGCTGTTAAAATGAATAAATACCATTCTATTGTAATGATATTTATTGACAAATTAAGATTTATTATTATTATTATTATTACAATAAAAATGCCATGCATGCCTGAATTAAGGTAGTTTTCGGGCTGTCATTCACTGACTTTTGCTCTAGAAGTCAGTAGAAAAACAAGTGAAAGTTCACAAGAGGACAAATAATCGCTGTTATAGGTTTTTATAAAGTGTGTCGTACTACAGATTAAACACACACACCTAGGTGAACATAATAAGCCAAAGAACGCAGACAAAAAAATACGTTAAAGCACATTCCTCTTTATGAGATGAGGTGTTTCCTTGATGTTCCAGCTGGCTCCCACGCCCCTCCCAGACTCAAGCAATCCTCTATGACTACAGGAGTGCACCATAATGCCCAGCTCCAAAGACCAATGTCCACAGCACGAGGAGATTGGCCACGAGGACTTTGAAGACAGGATTCAATTGACATCTCAAGATACGGTTTGTCTGGATTATCTAAATAAGACTCAAATAGTTCCAGAGTCCTTGGAGGAGGCGGGAGGAGGGTTCACGTCAGAGAGGACTTTGCTGAGGGAAGCAGAGTGCAGTCTGGGAGGTTGGGATGGCATGCTGCTAGCGTTGAAGGAGGAGGAAGCGTTCTAGGCTAAGGTAAGCAAGGACTAGACTCAAGGAAGCAGATTCTGAGATCTGCAGCGACTTCTAATGTCTGGTGCAGAGAGTACATCCTGTTGTTGTAGGCCACTACAGGTGCAGTAGTTTGTAAACAACAGGAAACCTTCAGTGGTTTTGAAAGTTTGCCTGATCAGAACAATGGGAACAGACTGAGAAGCGTATTACAGACACATCTGAACCCAGGATTACACAGGGCCATTGAGGACAAGCATTACTCGGCTTACCACGGGCAGTTCTGAAATATCATGAATCCTTCCTATGGAGCATGATGGCCACACTTGCAATCCCAGCACCAGGGAAACGGAGGTAGGAGGATTTCCAAGAGTTCAAGACCAATCGGACTGCATAACAAGTGCCAAGCTAACAGTCAGACCTCGATTATAAGACCCTACCTCTTGGGGGGTGGGGAGGATGGGGATGGCGGGATGGCTCAGCCATTCAGAAGACTGGCTGCTCTTCAGAGGACCCTGGTTCCACCCGCAGCACCCACAAGGCAGATCACAACCTG